AATTCGACTTAAAAACATGCGAATATGGTTCAATTTATTATCATTTATGCAAAAAATGTTTAGATTTTGTATATCACTTTGTAAAAACAACTCTATGAGTTGCATTTAAGGTTCAATTTACATTAATGCATGTTTATTTCAAGTATAAGTACCTAAATACAGTTGGCGACAGTTTCGAAGCGAACTTTTGTATGGGATTGTGTATCTAGTTCTTTATTAGTGATCGATGCATAAAGTATAAAGTTATTATAAAAAATTACCAGGGACAGCAACCGCTTTGATTAAGGTTGAAGAGGTGACGTTTGCCACAAACATAATTAGCGCGAACAACAGAGCGATTGGTAGGAACTTCATGATTACTTCAAGACTTCTTGGAGTGTTTTGCGAATTTCTATTATTTCACTATTTATATAGAAATGTAACACAATTTGTTATTGAAGATTAATTCATATCAGTGTAACGATACTATTGTTTATTAATTCAAGGTCGTCTATAATTCGACCTTCCATACTAAATGTAATGTTAATTAAGTAGGTTAACTAAATAAATAAGTTGTTTAAATGTTTAAAAAAACGTTGCCTCACACTAGGATTTTCTCCTGTGTCGTGGGTGCGGTTACAAACATACAATTTCACATACACATGACACCCAGATCCGGAACAACAATTTGTAAATCACACAAAAAGTTGTTGCACGACAGCCAGTAAATGTTATGAAAAATAGTTGATGTTTATGTATACAAAAGTGAAATAAAATTAAAAGCAAATATCGTTGACATTATCTTCAAGAACTGTAAAATAAGAAATTTACTCAGCCAAGATATATGTGGTTCCTGGCTGATGATAATGATAATTAATAAATTTTAGATATTCTAAACTAGCTCGTTTGATTAAATGGTCAAAAGTCAAATGATTTATTCTAAATATACCATTATACATAGGCATTTTTATAAACGTCAAATAAATACGACTATTGTTACACCACTTTCAAATTCTAATTATAATTCATTTATTCATTGTAGATCACAGGTATTTCAAGTATCCTAAAGTGGTTTTTTGCAACATTGTAAATGTGTAACCCGCCTATTCCACAGAGCGTGTCATTGGCATTCTGAGTATATTATAACATGTTTAGATAAGGTTCTTAAGGTAATTCTAATTGGCCTATTAAGATGTTAGATTTACGCCATGGCGGGCTAACATGGTGTACCTTATTATTTACCATTGTGAATGTTTTTTGACAATAATTTACCTTCAATAATCTTAATCTTCAGTTACTTACTTTCCCATTCTCCTGTATAACTCGTAAAATACTGCAAGAAGCTATAAAGGTATAATGGAGTTCCTCTGCTGACCGCATTTGCTATGTTTCCGTCTAACATTACTACAGTGCTAACGGAATTGAGATAATGGCCACGCTGGTGACGAATCCGGTAATTTATTGACTTTTCTTCTTAAATTGCTATTAGTTACCTAGAGCATCTTTTGTTTTTTGTTTACATTAGCAATGGCTCCGCTATTCATGCATGAGGATGCGAGTTCGAAAATGGGCAAGTAGCAACGTAATGAAGAAAAATATCGACGTCGTTGCTTTTCTTATTTAAGTGTGGGAGAGCCATGCTTCGACTCGAATGGGCCGGCTCGACCGAAGTGATAACACAGCCTTACAGAAAACCAGCGTGAAGCAACACTTAAGTTGTGTTTCGCCGTGTGAGTGAGGTTACTGGAGGCGTAATTCTTCCTCAATCCTCAAATCCCCTATCTTTAAATGCCTAACAACCCACAGCGGCCGGCAACGCGCTTGTACTAACTCCTTTGGTGTTGCAAGTATCTATGGGCGGCGCTTATTGCTGACCACCTGGTAATCCGTATGCGCGTTTGGACCTGGATTTATAATTTCTAATTATAAGTTTGAAATCGCCAACCCACATTGAATAAGTGGTGATTAATCTCAAACCTTCTCCGTGTGAGAAGAGGCCTTTAGCAGTGGGCACTTATAAGCTGATGATGATGATGAAGAAGTCGTTATTTTCAATAAATTTTGTATATATCTGACGATAGTTAACATTAAATAATAGTATTTCTTTCTTGAGTAGATTAAGCGTAAAAATATGGGTAAAAAACAATGAATGTTCTTCTGGGTAAATCGTTATCTATACTAATATTATAAAGAGGTCAAATTTGTAAGTTTGTATGTAGGCCGTAATCTTTGGAACCGCTGGTCGGATTGCCAAAATTCTTTCACTGATAGATAGCTACAATGTTCCTTAGTGCTAAAGGCTATAAAACATCACGCTACGATCACATGAGCAGCGGGTGAAACCGCGTGAGAGTAGCTAGTTTTCAATAGTTAGCTAGTGTGTAATGATAGTGACACACAATTTTGCAGACAACGCGATTAGTTTTGTCTAACAATCCTGGACATCTCTACTGATATACTGTTAGAAACAAAGACACAATACGTGTATAGAAAAGAACTAGTGAACTAAATATAGTGAAGAACTAGTGACCTAAGTATTCAACAATATTTTAACAAGCAAATCGAGGGACACCTTATCAAACGCTTAACTAAAATCTGAGAACCTATAAAGCATCGATTTGCCCCTTAGTAACATGTTTATAGTAACTATTTTAAAGCATTAATGAGTAAATAACATTATTTAGAATACTTAGCAATAATTTCTGTAAATATTCCGTAATTGGCCACCTAGTGATATTGAAAAATCCATTATAGTGTGAGAAAGTTAATTTATTCGATAGTCAATATATTTTAATGATATCGTTACGACGCTTAAGTAAATCGATTTTTGGTAACTAGTTCTGCTATATTCTTGTATAAATAGTGTTGTAAATTATCACAAGTGCGCAAAGTACTCCAAGTCTTGAAATCATGAAGCTTCTACTGATCGCTCTGTTGTTCACACTTGCTGTCTTCGTGACAAACGTCACTGCTCAAGATGTGCGGGTTTCGGTCGATGGCCGCCGTGGTAACTATTTATTAATCTAAAAATAACAAACCTGATCATCTCACATTCCTAGATTAGCTAATTGTGTCGGTACTGCTAACTCGGATTTACACTTTGGACTTTTGGCTCCCAAGATGGAACTGACTGTAACTACGCTTCAGCAACTCCTTTGCAACCAGAGTGGAGGGAGCAAATGGCTACTGTCAAAGCCATTTACACTTAGCCTCGGCCAGCTCGTGCGCTGGTCGCGGCCCAGAGGGTTATGGCCACACGCATCAACCGCGGCTACCGCACTACTTTTCGGGAGACGGCGAATCTCTTTGCCGGATCACCATCATGGGATCTGCCATCATGGGGAAGGCCCTTGACCTCAAAGATTTCCTTTATTACCACATTATGCCCCATCTGTATGTACAATAGGGATGATGTTCATCCGCGCTTACCGGTGTAAGCTTAGTAATTCACCGCATGAGAAGGAACGGGCTGGTTTTACAGGAACGACGAATAATCTAGAAATAATCATCATATCAGTTCTACCGGTGCAGAATGAATGGGTTAAATAAGCAAATCGTATTATATCGACAATAAAATGTAAACTTCCTTTTTCCATTTAATCTACAGGAGGTCAGAGCTGCCACACCGATTCTGATTGCCCAGATTTGTGCAATTGTATCGAGTTTACCTGCAAGTGTTTTAAAAGGAGCCTTGACCTACTCAGAGTAAACTAGCGACAAACAGATGTGTTTTCTTCAGAGACCCCAAAATGGCATTCAAATTGATTTCTAATTATTCATGAATATTTGTTGAAATATATAATGATTTATATAACCTCTTTCATTAAAGTGAAAAAATCATGATAGTGTTTTATTCTTTCCCAGTAAATGTAATATTTCTTAAACAAACACAATGAACCGTCCATAAATGTTTAAGGTAAAGTCAAAGACAAAATCATTTATTCCGACCAAACCCTGTAAAATGTGTACTTTTGAAACGTAAAAACGGATAATGGTCTGTCAATCTCTTCGTCAGTGAAACTGTCTGCTCGTTTCAAATTCCAATAGATGAGAACGATGTATGGGTTAAATAATGCGTATTATTTTACCCATACATCGTGTCAGAACCATGCAGAGAACAAGCTGTTAAAAAAAAGATGAAGAAAGAAGATGAAAGTTAAAAAAAGAAGGGATCAATTTCTCATCATTTAATTTCAAATCTTCATGTAATGCCTACTCACAATCCGAAATAATGCTACTATATGTACTCTACGGTTTATTTTTTTTTAAACGTTGCTCTACAATCGTATTTTTCCTGTGTCGGGTGCGTTTATAAACATACATACTACACCCAGACCCGGAACAATAATTAAGATTAGTGGATCACACATACTTTTTCCGTGCGGGAATCACTTATTGATGCCACAATTAAGTATTTATTCATTCAGAAAATTTGAGTAGTGACTGACTATATTTGACTATTGTCCGAACCAACATGCTGCCAGGCATTCGTATCCTCACTTTAAAATCTGTCAGTTACTGAATCTTATGCATTTATAACCCTTATGTTATAAATGCATAAGTTTGTATGTTTTTTTGTAACTTCACCACGCGCAAACGCCTGAATAGATTTTGATGAAACTTGGCACACAAATATACGGCTAGCCTCAAACGGAAACTCAAGCGTAAGACTTCATTCGCTTATCGTGTGTCCATCCGTCAAATTAATCGCAAAACGCACTTAACCTATCAAAACCTGGACTCAGTGTTCTAATTAACTACACGTTCATGAGGGCCAACTTAGGCTGGATTTCAGGTAAGCCAAGACCCCCAATAAATAGCTACTAATAGTGACCTAAAAGTATCCAACAATATTTTAGCCTAAGTTTTTTAGTTAATTGCGGGTCATTTTACTAAAAGCTAAAATTCGAGTATCTACTTAGCATCGATTTGCTACATTGTAATATGAATGTAGGTAATATTTTACATGCATTTTTGAATTAATAAAAATAAATACTAATAATAATTTAATAACATAATATTCAACGAATGGCCATGAGGCGAAGAAATCGATCTAGGACTCTCCTCGTCGTTGGAACCAGATTATACATCTGCAATCTGGGTTTAGGACTGGGAACAGCATTGCTAAAGTATTTCTCAAATGACTGGTGACACTTTAGAGGAGATTTGGTAGTTGCTGGCGTTTCACAAGGCGGCATTCTCTCTCCACTATTATTTTCAAACTTCATTATCTTCATCACTTCAATATCTTTAGTGTACGTATTATCTTTATGCCGATGAGTTACAGATTTACGCTCAATCTTGGCTGGAATAAATTATCTATGGCTATAAATAGTCTTAAAAAGTATTTGGAAGCTGCGAACATTTTCTCCTATGAATACTAGGTGACACTTGGGGTTTTTTCATCTTTCCGACTATCAAAGTTCTTCCAAATTCAGAGTCACAAACAAAACCATTTTTTCTATTAGTCCATTATAGGCACTTTCGAATGTGAAACAAAACTTAAAGGTAAAAGTGTCAGTCTGTCCATCAGTCTTCTAGTGAAGCTGATTGCTTGTCCAAAGTGTCGATTGCAATGGAAAAAAACTAAATCTTAAATCAGTTTCACATACAGATTATTTGGTACAGTATTGAGTTGATTCGACTATGTGAGAACAGTGTAACACGAATATTTATTCAGAGAAACTTAAAAAGAAATTAACATTAAGGACAATAGATAGCCCGGAGCTGACCAGTTTTAATTGTCGGCTCCCGTCCACGAACCAACCCAACTATATTAAAGGGATCTGAAAAATCTCAATCGTCCTGCCCGATACGTGATATGATATATTTTTCTAATATTATAAATGCAAAAGTAACGATGTTTGGATATTTGTTACTCGGTCACGTCAACAGGCTGGATGAAATTTGGACGGATCTGGATGAAATTTGGTGCAGGCATAGGATACACTCGGGAATAAGACGTATGCTACTTTTTATCAAGATACAACACAGGCGAAGCCGCGGGCGGAATCTAGTGCGATATTTGTTGCAAAGCGTTTATCAAATAAATGAGCAACACTTAGTAACGATATCTTTAAATTATCCACAGTGAGCACTAAATGGCACTTAAAGGTGAAATACTACTTTTAGGATCATTATTCTGTGATAAATTTGATTTATTGGATAAAGTATATATATATTATAATGACATCGTTACGACGCTGAACAAAATCAATTTTTGGTAACTAGTTCTGCTATATTCCTATATAAATAGTTGTAAAATATCACAAGTGCGCAAAACACTCCAAGTCTTGAAATCATGAAGCTCCTACTGATCGCTCTGTTGTTCACACTTGCTGTCTTCGTGACTAATGTCACTGCTCAAGATGTGCGGGTTTCGGTCGACGGCCGCCTTGGTAATTATTTATCAATTTAGAAATTTGAGCATATCAAAGTCATTCGAATAATCTATAAGGTCAAATAAAGATTAAAAGATAAAAAATTGTCACTCTGTCGTTCAATTAGTGAAGCTATTTGCTCGTTCCAAAGTGTAGATTCCGATGAAGGAGAACCGACGAGCATATTATATTCCAAGATCAGTGTATTTTTTCGGAAATGCCGCTGCAGTTTTTTTATGTGTTAGGACGGTACATTAGCAGGCGGATTACCTGATAGAAGGCCGCCAGCGTCGCCCAAGGAAACCCGCAACGACGGAGGAGTTACGATTGTGTTGGTGACCTTTAGGGCATTAGGGATTCAGACATTTAGGGATTGGGCCTCCGGTAACCTCACTCACACGGCGAAACCCAACGCTTTGGTTGTTTCACGCCTGTTTCCTATAAGGCCGTAGTATCGTTCCGATTGTGCCAACCCATTTGTGCCGAAGAATGGTTCTCCCATACTTTTTGTCTGAGAAATAAGTTTTGGAGATTAACGTGTTAAATAAAATAAGCAATTATAGATAATAAACTTTATTTTTACATTTCATCTTTCAGCGAAACAGATCTGCCACTCCGATCGTGACTGTCCAGATATGTGCAGTTGTGTCGAATCTATTTGTAGGTGTTACAAATGAAGCCTTGACTTAAGCTACACATAAAAGGTTTTTTTTCGGAAACATCCCAAAAGTAGTAAAATTTTAATCTTATTATTCTTAAATATTTTTGGAACTATGTAATAATTCTGTAATCTCTTTTAATAAAATAGTGAAAAATCATGATAACGTTTGTTTTTTTTTCTGGATATATTTGGAATCAAATTCCTAAATAGTGGAACTTAGGAATAACATGTTTTGTAATGCGTACTAAAAAAAGATGATTATTGAAGTCTTTTATATAATTTCTTTGTGCTTCTTTTTATAGCTGTTTAGATTTTAAGTTTTCCAGTGTCACCTCGACTGGAGTGTTACCACGGGATTGAACCGGTAACCACACTCACACGGTGTGGCATAACGCTGTGGTTGTTTAATGCCGGTTTCCTGTGAGGCCGTGTTATCACGAGCCAAAACCTGGCTCTCCCACACGCATTAGTGCCAAAGGGACGGACACTTTTGAACGTCAATCAAACGTTATAGATAAAAAGTGTCAGTCTGTCGTTCAGTCCTCTTAGAAGGTTAGACACAAACCAACCCATTTTCCAAGGACTATTGAATATGAAATACTTGAATGAGTACTCTGATTTGTTACTCCTCTGTTTCCATTGGCAGAGTTTTATTCTGCATACATATAAATATTTTAGCATACTCTTCAGTTTCTTTTATTACCATTCTGTATTGCAACATAAATTTTTCAAGCAAAATGTTAAACAACACTTAAAGATTACAAATTAAATTTTCTTTTTAAAATAAGCGGCAGAGTAACCTAATATTTGTGCCATGCCTTATTGCCAACCAAAAAATTTGTTAGCATACACTTTGTCTAGCAAATATTGTCTAGTTTTAGGAATCTGACCTTACAAAGTCGAATTACTTCGTAGCTTCATCATATTGATGCCTTATTCTATCGCAAATTTTGTCATACTTTATTTAAAATAGATTTTGTCCGAGACTTTGCCTATTGAAATTTTTCGGTCTAAAATTGTTGGGCCTATTTTACGCTAGGAATTTTCAACATAAAGATAATAAATTTCCATCAATTTTCTTAAGTATATGAATCGAACAAACAAACTTACGATTGCATGTATAATATCAAGTTTGTATTAGATAGAGGAGTAAGTATGAACGCTAACTGTCTACCCATCAAAAAGTAATTAATCTAGTATTTTTGATATTGGACCTTTTCAGTTAGCAAGTTAAAAATTATGCAAATAAGCTTAGATTTTGTTATAGAGAGAATTCGGAAAAAGTGTTAGCTTTTCTTTAATCATACACTCATACATACAAACAATCGAACTGAGAACCTCCTTTTTTTGGCAGTTGGATAAAAATTATCATCATCATCATCATATAAGTGTCAACTACTAAGCATAAAGTGACATAAATGGACATGGGAATTATGAATGAGGCTAAGTTTTACAATGATGTTTCCTGTCATTGTCATTATCATTAGTAATTGCCAGGCCTATCTCAGGCTACGAACTAGACAATTGTGCTTACGACGTTTTTAACTAGATGCCATCAAAAATTTACCATTGCGTTCAAAAATAAAATTCGGAAAAAGATGAACATTTTCTGTCTCCTTAATTTCTACGGGATCTTTATTAGTAGAATGAATGGGTATGCCCCGGGGCGAGGAAGGGACTATCTTTAATCATCCCTAATTTAATACACACCCTTTAGTTAAAAGGTCTCTTTTGAAGCAAGGGATGAAGGCAAGTTTTTGACAGCCATTAAATTTATTATGTTACTTTTTTTACTTATACATTTGAAAAAGAAACATGTTTTATCACATGTATAGGTTAAAAATGAACTGTACCTTATTGTTGTTGTTGAAAGGCGTTATGGGCCTTTTAAAAGTTATCGTAACATCACAATGTAAAAAGTAATGTTACGGTTCTAATTTGATATACAAGAAAAATCTAGTCGTAATCGATATATGTGGAGGACGAGTTTGCAAACGCTGAGTACATTTGATTCCTATAAGCTTTGTTCATTTTACAACTGACAAATTTTATACGGCGGGCGTAGCAAGAAAACTGCGTGTAAATATTTTTATCTGGGATAGGTAATATTGGTATGTGAGAACAGCCAATAATAATAACTAGTAAGATGCAACATAATTTCACCGTCTTTCTCCACTCCATTTTATTATTGATGAAGTGGCTTCGTCCCAGGTTATGGCGAGCAAAGAAAATCCTAGTGTGGGGCAACGTTCTTTTAAAAAAAAAAACCTACGACCGACTACTACTACCGACGTACCGGCAGCACACCGCGGCTCCTTGAGCCTCGCCTTATCATATTAGCGCGACGCACATTGCGTCTGGAATCCGCAGCCGACGTGGCGGAAAGTACGTTAACTTACGAATAGTAACATAATATTGTTGCGCGTAACGACGAATTTTCTGATAAGGGCCTAAAGTTTAAGTAATATATTTTTTATATTACTGACCGGATGTCGTAAGACAATATCTTTTGGCACCATTTTGCCATTAAGGCTCTCTTAATGGCGTCGCAAGACAGTTGATCTGTTTCAATAGCCCAAATACTGTAATTTAGGTTTCCAAATATTACCATAATGGTCTCAATTTGCATGAATTCCTGCTGAAATATTTCTATGTTCTAACTGATACGGAAAACTGAAATCATGCAATCTGTCTTAAACATTTTTGTATTTGGCTTATCATGGCAAACAATTTAGACCTTGTGTCGAAAAAAATAAATACGGTACGTTGAAATTTAGTAAAGACTGTCACGAAGCATTATGTAATGCGGACAGAAGGCAATTGTTAGCATTTTATTAATAAGTATCTATGTATTTCAGATTCACACTTTTTTTTCATATCGTACAAGAAATGTACTATTTTTGAGGTTTACCAAATTGCTACTCAAGCCTTTGTTGGGTCGATAGCGAGTGTCAGACTCTTACTAACTAGAAACCATGCTGTTTTTTTCCTGCTCCGGAACAGGGCTTTTTTTGTGAGGAGAAAATTCTCTAATGACTTCTGCCGCCCATGTTGGGGCGGGAGGGAGTGTCAGACTCTTACTGATTTAAAACTCCCCCGTTCCTTGTCCTGCTCTAGGCCAAGGCCACTGTGCCTTATTGCGCTTACCCTGCATCCTGGCTGAATATCAGCCCTATAGGGCCTCGTCTTTGATCTATTGTCTCTTTGAGGCGCGCGAGAAACGCTATGCGCCGTACGCTCGGATGTGGTTCTGTTCGGACTGTGAGCTACCCTTACTCATCGTCCGCAGACCCACGCCTACCAGAGATCGCCTCTCATTCGGACCAAGGCTGCGGTTTTGAGCTTGCACTCTGAAACCAGCATTTTTTGAGGCGGGAAAATTGAGAGGGAGTATGAAACGTTTACTGATTAAAAATCATATCTTACTTATGTCTGCTTTGCTGATCTACAACTTATAAATTGCTGGACCCTAACTATACAAACATACGGTTTTGACGATAATACCAGACTATACTTTCATACGAGACTCGGCACGTTCATAGCAACATTTTGCAACATCACTCCCGTTCGCCGAAAAACATAAAATATTTTCCACGATATAACACATTTTTTGCGAACACCTTGAAAATTTCGCTTTACATCCTTCACTTAGTACATCATGTTCGTAAAAATTACAATTATTAAATATTTAAGGGTGAAAAAGCATAAGATATAAGAATGTAATCACGTAATACACCGGGTGTTATTCCCGCAGGTTTTTACAGGAGTGTGTCTTAAGTATATGTTACGTACCTTTAGAACATATTGTATAGTAACAATATTATTTTTTCTGACGCACTCTACTGAGTGCAGAAGTTCCGACGAGAACATTTTACTGGACATTTTCTTAGAAACAACATCATTTACTGTTGGTGCAATGGGTTGACAAATGGGTGCCATTAATTATGAAATGAGAAACTCCTTTGGCTTTGCAGATGTGTATGGACTGCGCTAATTGCTTTCTATTAGATGATTAGTCAGCTCATTTGCCGAACTATCCCATTGAAAACCAATAATTTCAATTTGTAACACCACACTGGCACAGTTATAGTAGGATGTTTTTATTGTCTTTCTTCTGAATTCTGGTTGTAGGTATTGAGCATATAGTTTAAAATAGTTTTTGAACCTAGATAGTAATCAATTATATCAATAAATAAATATAAAACAGCAACATATTGCATTATTAATATGTATTTATTCGAAACTTTTCATTAAGCCAGGTGTGTAAACAAAACAGACAGACAATTACTTTCATATCATATTATATTTGTAGATACAGATGCAAAATACATCCGGAGCGCAGTAGCATCGTTTGTCAGGCGGGCAATCTTCATCATCCCAACACGTTTGTCTGGCTGTATAAGACAAAAAAGTTCAAAACTTAGGTTTCTCAATTCATTGATACCTACTTCGTCATAGACGCTAATCCTGATTGCTAGAAAAAATGTCCCTGTTGGTTTTTATAGAAAGATCTCTGCGTGATTTGTAAAATCCCCACACAGGAGAAAATCCTGATTTAGGGAAAAAAGTTTCTTTTGGAAGACGTCATTAAAAATATGGACCCTGTTATCGTGAATGGTTTACAGCCATAGCTTACCATCCCGGTAAGCTATGGCTTTTGGGAGACGCCATTAAAAAAACATGGACCTTTTTATTTTTACTTGCCTTTTTATTTAGAAACTTTTTATTCCTTTTAATTTTTGTATACTATAGGTATATACATCATATGTACCATCCCGGTAAGCTATGGCTATAAACCATTCACGATCATGAGAAATTACAACATAATTGTATTACACCAGAAGGAGGTTGCGAAGAGGGAAGAAGTCGCAACAACTCTAACATAGAAAGCTTCCAACGCTAAGCATGGAGGAAATCTTTACCTCACCTTCGTGCACCTTGAGGTATGGTGGTGAGGTAGAATTTGACGAAGATAAGTATGGTTTTCTTGAGAGTCAGAACACTGTCATACTCATTCCTTGTTTCGTGATGAAGAAGAATATTTTAAAGAAGACGAAAACCCACCTCTTTTACGTAAAATAGAGTCATCATAATCTGCAAAAACTAAAACCAATAAATTGAGTACAAAAATAAACTTCAAAAACCACATCGCTTTGAATACTTATTACTTATTTACACTTCAAATAAAGTTCTTTTTAAATTTATAATTAACACGTTTTGTAGCCACGTAGGACACCTGTGACTTACAGTAGCGGAAGATTTGCCTTCAATAATTTTCTGTCAACGCTTATCGGTCATAATCGATTATTCAAATAATTACAGTTTGATAACGTGAAAAGTACTTATTGATTAACTATTCGCTAGCAATTGCCATTCAAAGGTTTCGATTGCTGACTTCAGAGACAGATTTTAAACGTTAAATATTTTAAAGTTTTCAGTCTGAATATCAAAAGTTTTCACAAAATATTCTTTGGTAAGCTGAATTTTTAATGTAGGAGAGCCATGCCTCGACACGAATAAATCGGCTTGACCAGTGTAAAACAACGACCTCACTGGAAATCGTCATAAAACAACGACAGCGTTGAGATTCACCGTGTGAGTAAGGTTACTATAGGCTCAAAGTTTCATCCCATTCCCCAATACGTACCTCCCTAATCCCTAAATGTTCGAAACCCTAATATCTAAAAAAAAACTCTTGCTTGAAGACATTCATAAAATTTCTGATATTGCTTTCCGATAACTACCCAAAGTCTATATATGAAATTCACTGCCAAAATATAAACCAGCTTACGTTCGAGGAACAATTTGATTCAATTATGCGTTTGCATGAAAATAGTTTCCCTATCAGCTACACTATAGGATTGAGATATGAACATCAGTTGAAAACATCGAAGCGACAAACGCGTTTGCCACATCTAGTATAGTGTCATAGTGGCCCGGAGGTTAAGGAGCCCGCTTCTCATGCATGAGGGTGTAGGTTGGAAACCTGGCAAGTACCAATGTGATTTTTTCCGAGTTATATGTACTTTCTATGATTATTTAGACACCACTGAATAAGAATACACATACGGTGAAGGTAAACATCGTGATGAAACCTAAACTTATAATTTCTTATTATAAGTTTGAAATCGCCAACCCGCATTGAGCAAGCGTGGTGATTAACGCTCAAACCTTCTCCGTGTGAGAAGAGGCCTTTGGTCAGCAGTAAGCACTTATGAGCTGGTGATGGTGGTGGTGGTAGTGGTGGCTGGTGATTTGGCTTCTCCCAGTTGTTTAGTCTCTTTAGTGCCTTGATAAACATAATGTAACTAAGTGAGGTACGTAGAAATTATTAAGTTTTTTTTTTCGCAAGTAGAATCTTCTGTCAGAGAGTTTTTCATATATGATACGTCGGACTTCATTAGTGTTTCGGTGTTTTCTGTATCTGCTGTAGATCTTGGGTTACAGGAGTTGCAGCGGTTTTGGAAGGTAGTAACAGGATTGTCCCGTTAAAAAGGTAAAACTTCATATTATATTATGAGGTAGAATAAACACAAGATAAAAGAGGTCATCTAAACGAATGAAAGCTGAAAATGGAGCTCTAACGGTCATAAATATCAATAAAACTGTTACTTATAACCGGCCATAAGCTCCCGTCGTTCGCTGAGCTCAACTTGTCACTATAGACTGCATCAACGATGAAATATGAAGTAAATACAGAGTCTATAAACGTTACTTTGTAAATATCGTATTATGTTATATATTGATTTTACGAAGATGTGGAACATCTTTACACAACATCACTTTTTGTCTGATGGATGTTCTAAGAGTTGACTAAAGAACTGCACAATAGAAAATCGAGCACAATCGCTCTCTGATCAGCTGATTCCTTTTTTTATGGTATAGGTTGGCAAACGATCCAACGGATTACATGATAGTAAGCCATTAGCGCCACCCATGGACACACGCTACACCAAAGGAGTAAGTAAGTTTACGTTTAAGCGACGCGTTGTCGGTGCGATGTGAGGTTCGTCATACATTGCTTGTGATGTTCATATGTTTGTGTTTGCACGGCCGTTGACACGACTTGATGCTGTAATGTACGACAAACGAAATACGCGCCGCGCAACGTCCCGCGTGTACGTAAACGACACCTAACGAATGTGTTGAAATTCTATTAATTTAACTAAACTAACTAACTGGAATACCGATTAACTAACAAAACGATAATTTGTCGGTCAATTACTGAACAATTTCTTTAATTGCGGATTATAAATTCAATTTGATTGTTATATTGCTTTAAAGTTTCATGCGTAATTGACGTTGCTGGCAACAGTTACCAAGTGTTGGCTTCACCACGGTTATATTACGGTTTCAAAGAAAAACGTGTGTGAGTAAGTAAGTGTGTAAGTGTGGGAGAGCCATGCTTCGGCACGAATGGGTCGGCTCGACCGGAGTGATAACACGGCCTCACAGAAAACCGGCGTGAAACAACCACAGCGTTGTGTTTCGCCGTGAGAGTGAGGTTACCGGAGGCCCAATCTTTCCCCACCCCCAATCCCTCCTCAATCCTTAATTCTCCAAATCCCTAATCCCTAAAAGGTCGGCAACGCACTCGTAACTCCTCCGTTGCGGGTGTCCATGGGCGGCGCTGATTACTTACCATCAGGTAATCCGTCTGCTCGTTTGCCGATCTATTAAATAAAAAAAAAAACCGTCATGAAATAAGGCGTGTGTTATATGTGTATTTTGCTATATACATAGGTCTCCCATTCACAATTCCTTTAATCCAAAATCCGTAATATTTTTTTATCCTTAGTTGCCCAATATCCATTCACCAATTCTGATCATCCCCAAAGGTCGGTAACTCACTTAAAATTTAACTGTGTTGTGAGTGTCCATGAACGCTGATTGCTTACCATCAGCCGAGGCGATCATTAAAATAGAGCTCTAAGGAGTGTCGTAGTGCTCAAATATTAATACCTACGAGGATTTCTTCGTTTTAATATTTACCCACTTCTTTTCTTCCTATTTTTGCTAGTCTCTCTGTCGAAGAAGTTTACATATTAAAAAAAAACTCAAATTAGAGAAAAAAAACCACATAAACATTTCCACATATTATTTATTTTAGTATAGAAAATTGATAGTTTCGACAGTTTTCTAAATATAATTTCTATTTCGTGATAATTATACGAAGACAGGTCTAATCTTCTACTTATAGGTAATATTTATTTTTAATTTAATTTATTTATACAATAATTAATTGTTTAATTGTAAGTATATTATACAAAATTTACATAATCGTTTAGATAATATTTGTACAATGTAATATTATATTATTTAATTTATGCTACAATTACGGTTTAATGATATTTATTTAATTTTACTTAGTAAATAATTTCTTGTTGATTTGATTTATACATACATACACAGACATATTAAATATTACTTTTATTTATTTATTTATTTAAACTTTATGCAACAAAACATTACATAGGCGGACTTAATGCCGTAGGCATTCTCACCAGTCAACCTTAGGGTGATGCAGAGAGAGTATGGTAGGTGCAACAAGAAGAGAACTTTGAGACGATAAAAAGATTTAAAAATAATAAGAACACTAAAATAAATATATATATATGTAGAATATTATAATAATACTGGTATATGGTGGAAGATAAATAAAAAAAAAATACTCAATACATACTCTATATACTTACATAACTAGTATACATATATATATATATATTTATATATATATGAATAATATTATACACAGTGAATACATAACATAAGAGTTTTATGATGATGGTTCTAACAACAGTCCATTCAAAATGTGCTTACGCAATTCAGCCTTAAACGATTGCTTACTGGTCGCCTTCCTGATTTCCAAGGGCAAACCATTCCACAGGAGAATGGATTGAATGTAAAAGGATGAGTGGATAGTATCAGAGCTATGAGAGGGACAATGAAGAAGTAGGTTATGAGAAGAGCGAAGATTTTTGGAATGACCAGAGTAGCGGTAACAAAAGTAGGAGGTTAAATAAGAAGGCGAAGTTGGAGAGTTGAGAAGTGAAAAAAGAGTTGTCAAAGCGCGAAATGCTCTTCTTTGGCGAATTGGCATCCATTTCAACTCGGACCTGTACTCAGAAACATGATCGTACTTCCTCAGGTTAAAGACGAACCTTATGCAGTTATTGATGAGACGATCAAGTTTATCGAGCAAATCCGAGCCGAGATCATAGTAACACACGTCACCATAGTCGATTATAGGAAAGATTAAAGACTGCACAAGCATTGCCTTCGTCCTAGGTGGTAGAAAATTCCTTAGTCGATTTAGACAGCGCAACGTCCCCATCACCCTCTGACTAACACTTGAGACCTGAACCTACCAGCTCAGCGTAGCATCTAGATGCAAGCCCAGGTCCTTAACTGAAGGACTAAAAGGGACGACGCTTCCATCCAATGTTACCGAAGGAACACTTTCGATCTTCACTCTGCTCATCATTCGAGGACTGCCGATAACTATGGCCTGACATTTGGCAGAATTGACTGATATGCCAAATTGACTAGACCAACAACTGATGGTTGTGAGATCATTATTCAGCTTATCGATGGCTTCGTGCAGATCTTCCGGCCGAGCCTGAGTGTATATCTGCAGATCATCGGCATACAGATGATACGAACACTGAAGATTAAATGTGATAAAATTAATAAAAAGAGAAAATAACAGTGGAGAAAGAATACCGCCTTGTGGAACACCAGCTTTAAGCTCGCGCCAATCTGACACAGTCTCGTCAACGCGAACCGCCTGCCAGCGCCCCCGAAGATAAGATGAAAACCACTCCAGTGCCCCAGGCGAAACCATAAGATGGGAAAGAATGGATTCAAGGATATCGTGGCTGACGGCATTAAAGGCATTAGAAAAGTCAATTAACACCAAGGTAGTAACTTTTGTGTCTTGAATCCCTTCTCTAATGTCGCCAGTACTTTGCCATGGCTTTCAAAATAACGTTGTTTAAACTTTATGACACAACTATGTACATCTATATCTACCGACAGATTTTGATTTCGATCAATTCAGACAGCTAGGCTTCCTAAAATGGCAATATAGAATAAAAAGTTTTATGTCGTTGTATATATGATGATTGTAAATAAAAAAACATGTTATTAATTTAGGAAAATTTTATAATATTATTTTATTATCAAGAAAAAACTAAGATAACTGGTATGTTTATATATTTAATTTCTTTCAAACCGACACGGCATCCATCTTATTTGACGTATTATTTAATACGTACATTACTTTATAATGAACATTGTATAAACACATAACAGATACAATGACGTGTACAATTAACTAAAACAAAGCCTTACAAAGAAAACAAACAATTGTTACATTTTATATCATTACAAGTTTCAGTGGAACGTGTTTCATAAAAGTTATTGTTTCAGAGAATTTTCAGATCAACACAAAGCGGCCATTGTGAAGTTTTCAGTGAAACTCTTACGCCCCAGACGTAACAGATATTGTTAAATTTCGATTATAAATAAATATTTGTTTTTTTCATAAAAGATTTTTTATGTCTAGAAACTTCCATGAGCACCCAGTTACAAGTGCGCTAACAGCCTTTGGGGATTAGGGTATTTGAAAACTTTGGGATTGAGGAGGGATGGGGGTAGGCGAAAGATTGGGCCTCCGGTAACCTCACTCACACGCGAAAAACAACGCTGTGTGTTGTGGGCTTTTTTTGACAGAGCAGTACAACATCTTGTTTTATTAAAACATTGTAGTTTTTCGATGAATTGTATCTCAACACAATTTAAAATCAATTGTTTTGGTATAAAGTCGAAAATTAATTGTTGGAAAACTATTCATTTCCCAACAAATCGTAGATCTGTTATGCTAGTAGTAATTTCTAGACGCCGTCCTTGAAATATTAAAATATTACCGAGGAAAACTTGGGAACTTCATCATACCCTTTTAACATGTTAGGCTAATTTCATCTTTTTATAACATGACACTAAGGGCTAAATTGCTTTAAACTTAATAGGAGCGACTAAAGCTTTTTGCTTTTGTCTTTCAGTGTGGGATCCAATTAGAACACTCCAGTTGTTTACAGTTAGAGCAAATTAAAAGCGTGCACACCCTTTTCGTTAGTCAAAGTATAATGTAATTTGTTTTGTGACTATGTTTGAGTGAAATAAACAGAAAAAATGTAGTTTATAAACACTTTTCACCAAAGAAACAGGAAAAGTTGCATTTTTATGAGTTTTAGGTTATATTTTACGATCCAATAAGAGACAATATTTACAAAAAAAATATTTTGTGAAATTGTAGCATTTCTTTCAGATTCCGATCTATAGCTGTGAAAAACAAAATAAAAAAGAAGGTATTTTTCTTACTACAACAGTTGGGTATTGATATTGATACTCGATTTATTTGAAAATCTCTAAAATTTGCTGATAAATTCTATCAAAATTTTGTCTTCACTGAAAGACATTTAATTACGTGATTTTCATCTTTAAAAGATAAATTGAAGTTCTTTAATAGCCTACGGTATTATTATAATATTTTCTGTGTAATATTTACACTTTTTAAATGTAAATCTCTTTAAGTTTATTATAATAAAAGAAAATGGTGTGCCAAGAAAATAGTGTTTCAGCCTAAGCCGACCATTTTGGGTCCCATTATCGTTCCCTGGGGAACTCCTCTACATAAACTTGCCAAGTTGTTTTTGGGAGAAAGACTATTGAAAATGTCTAGTAATTTAGGAATACTTTATATTATTTATAAAAAATAACAAGGTTTTCACGTGTTTTTTTTTCACGACAGACAATATGGGTCGTCGCGGTGTCTGTAGTGACACCGCGGCCTCACAGAAAGCCGGAGTGAAAAGTCCACAGCATTGTGTCACGCCACGTGAGAGGAGTTACCGGAAAAAAAATAACTGACAAAAGTTCTACTTGTTTTAAATCACAATGGGTCTCTCCATTCATGATTGAGCAGCGTGCTTTAATTCGTGTGATAACTCACAGTTGTATTCAGTACATTTAGTAAGTCTGGCAGTAGTTATTGCACAATAAATACATAACGGATTAAAAGTAAATCTAAAAAACGAATCGCAAAATGTGTTGGTAACGCATAACTCAATGAGGCTTGGACGAACTTCAAATTTTTTTTTTGGTATGATTGTTATTGTCAGGAGAAGGTTCTTACGAAAGAAAGTTTCAGAAAAGTAGAGGGGGAAAGCTGGGATCTAGGGACCGTTTCTTCGTTCCTTTCAAGTAGACCCGTGCGATGCAGGGAAGGGCCACTAGTTTTCTATAAAAAATAAAACGTATTAAGTTTTTCGACACTTTTTTCAAAATTTTCATAAAAAGGTATAGATGGATAAGCTAATTTGTTTGATGACATCTGATTCTACTTCAAACACATACATAGGTACTTATATTGCAAGATTCAAGTTAAATAAAAGGTTGTCATAAAAACAATACTCATAAAATATGTGGTAAAATGAATCTATTCGAGATTATTTTAAAATGCATCTAAAATTCGAAACAATTTTCTGTTAATGAAAAATGAAGAAGAAATTTTGTTTTTGATACATCATTTTAGTACTAATTACATCGCACGGCGTTGTATGTGCTACATAATGATGTTGACAATGCACACGACCGTCATTGCCCATCAATAACACAAAATAATAGCGTAGCTCACCGACCAAAAACGGACGAATTCACTAATTATTGCGATACGTGTGTACCTAATGAAACATAAACCCGAGCTCATACATTTAATTAAACGGATAAATTTGTAAATTGATGATGGCGGGTTAATTATGAACTGCATCGATTATTTTGTTGCTCAAAAAATGACTCATCATATTTCCTTTATTGTATTCCTTTAAAATAATCGTTAATTTTGAAATGAAGAGGGAGTTCAGGGAATTGCCTTTCTTTTTCGGACTTAATATAAATATTATGTTTTTTTCGAAAATAATATATGTATAGTTGCCGATTCTCCACTTGGGTTGTGATGGATTTGTGTCTACAAGCTCCTGTATTGCCATACTCAGAGTCAATTAATGATAACTTAATTTATTCTGTAGCAGCTACTGTCAGAACAAATTTTTTACCTACGAATAGTTTAAGCAATCATACTGAATAGAATTTGAGCATTTAAGCTGAGAATTTAATCAATCATACTGTAATTATTCAATATTTTTTGTGTTACAATTATTATTTTCTCTAAATATCAGTATTCAATATAAAATGTTCTGGTTGTATTTACCGTGACTAAATACAGAGAGCCATTCTCGTTCGTATGAAATTCAAATATTTGTACAAAGACCAAAATACCACACGTAGTGGAATCGTCAAACGTTCAACCAGTATGCAAACTGTGCCTTTATACATCGTTTCATATATTTGTACTGTATGAAACAATTAAAAAAAAAACAACAATTTGTATAATGAAAATATTATTCTATGTTTTATAACAATATATTAAGATGTTTTTCATTGTATGTAAGTACTTAACGGGCGAACAAGGCGAAGAAAGGAATCCGTACATGTTGTTTTTTTTTTTTTCAAAATTAGAGCGCTTCCTCACTACATCCTATCTGATTCCGATCCGAAATCTCCTTAAAACATGGTCCGTTGCAGCCGTAGAAATATTTCTAGTTTATGTACTATAGCCGTTATCCGATTTCTTTCAACGAATATCCTATTTGGTAGATTTTTCTAAAACTGTATTTCGACGGTTTCGTATCGGATTCGGATCGGTCGTAGTGCGGAAGCGGTCACGCCCTCTTGCCGCGGAGTTTATTATCATATCATGTATAATATTCAGATACTGCCAACCACTATGCTTTCAGATAAAAGTGAACTTATAATTTTTAGATACTTAAAATGATGATATTTACAATGCAAAATATTTCCATATTACACTTATGTTACGTCTCTTAATCGTTTTATTTACACTGATCACATTAAATCCTGATCCTTCCTCAGCATCTACGTGGAAGTCCTTGATTTCATTTCACAAATGATTTCCAACGCAAATATTTATTTATATAAGCCAGGCAACCCGACTGCCCTCTCTTTCAACTATAACTTCTTCGGGTGCGATCACAGTGTCGGCGACAGCGGTAGCAGGTACAGGCGCCTCGCTCACTCTTCGTCGTGTGAGCGTGCGCTGTGGCTCCCGTCATGTTCCGCAATCGATGCGCGCGCAGATCGCCGCGCTCAGTAGCGTAGCGGCAGCGAGAGCGATTTGCACGCAAGCGATTACTACTAAATCGCGTGAAGATGGTATAGTGTCTTCTTCGTTGGGGCCGTCTCTGAAAGATTGTACGCTGTTAAAGTATGTTACGAGAATTTCTATATTATAGGTAGATGATTATCTTAGGCGTTGCGTCTTATTTTGTGGGTAATTACCTAAAATACAATTTTTACATTGTTTAACTTCTCATTACACATTACATAAGGATATAAAGAAACTTTACCTTATTATTTCTAAATTAGGTTCAATGTCTATACCAATATAATTAGGTATAAAGAAAATGTCTTGTTTTTCTAGTAATATTTATGCTTATGATACAACTTTGTTCTTCTCACATCTAAATAATTTAAGAGAACTATGTAGGTCAGTGCGTACTTAAATATTTTATTACATAAATATAAATGATGTTTGTTGCTAGCTTGATAAATATTTCATAAGCTTTGTACATATCTTATTTTCGACCAATGTTTTATTTTCCTGACGGACTTCGGACATTTGAGTTCAGCATAAAATATGCGTTAAATAATGTTGAATTCAAATATTATTATGTAGTTAATTTTAGCGGCTTAATATCGGCAAGTAAAAATTATTTTTATCATGTATTTATTATAAAAAAGAAAGACTACATTAATATCTTTATTAATTATTCATATTCAAAAGAATTGGGAGGCATCTACATACAACATAGACACAAGTAAAAGTTTCCTTCACATCTTTTTCGACGTCACTTAACATTAATTTAGAAATTTCTTTTCAACTCACCCATGATCAATTCCAGGTGGATCTAAAATAGTTCTGCAGCACTGCACGACGAGGGCTATAAGCAGGCAGGCTGCGGCCGCCCATAGCACGCCCGCCGCGCCCGCCCCCGCACCCGCTACGCCTGACATCGCGCTCCAACCACGTGACGTGTGAATTGATACCGCTGAGGGAAATAGCTCGAGTTATCATAAAAGGATAGAAGAGAGTTTATTTAAGATTTTATTTAAGAGTTTATTTAAGTGTGGGAGAGCCATGCTTCGGCACGAATGGGTCGGCTCGACCGGAGTGATACCACGGCCTCACAGAAGACCGGCGTGAAACAACCTCAGCGTTGTGTTTCGCCGTGTGAGTGAGGTTACCGGAGGCCCAATCCTTCCCCGCCCCCAATCCCTCCTGAATCCCTAAATCTCCAAATCCCTAATCCCTAAAAGGTTAGCAACGCACTCGTAACTCCTCCGTTGCGGGTTTCCATGGGCGGCGCTGATTGCTTACCATCAGGTAATGCGTCTGCTCGTTTGCAAACCAAACACATAAAAAGAAAAAAAAAAAAAAGAATTGAAAGACATCCTATCTTTTATACGGCTCATTTTCCTCTGTGACTCAATAAAGCATAGTGAATGCGTAAAAAAAAAACGATTTTTATCGAAAATGTGTGCCGTATACGGTGGTTAGCGAGCTATCCTGATGGTAAGCAATTGGCGCCACTCATAGATATTCTTTTACTGCTATGAAGATGGTCATTGGGTCACTTGCCGTAGTTGAAACGGTGTACCTACGCCTAAGTAAAATTTAAACACCCTTAACATATCCAATTTTAAAAGTTAAATAAAATTATTATAATTATGTAACAAAAATTACTTTTGCCTAACTTCATAATTAACCCTAAAGTTTATTTCATCTGCACGTAGTTTTAACTGAGAATCGGGAACTAGGTAACTTCATAACTGGGTAAACTCTATATAATTAAATATTTTTTTTAGTTTTTCCAGTACAGAAAAATTCTGTTATTTTACGATTTTTTTTTTGAAAATTTGTTAGAGGCGTTGGAATAATCTTTTACCTACTTAAATTTTTTCCGATATCATATAAGAATACGATATCGGAAAAAAATTATACCATAAAACTGTAAGAACAGTTTTAAGTATTCGAAGAATATTTGTTGGCTTTCTGACTGTTCATTAGGACTGAGAATAAAATAGTTGTTAAGTGAATTTATTGCATGTATGCTGTTTCCATTATTGAGAAGGCCATCAATCCGTCTTCGCTTTCGAGGACTCTTGAGACGCGAGATGGTGTCTATGAGATTAGTTTATTTACCTGCTGCCAAAATGCTGATTCCCCCAGCAGGGATCCCCAGCCCCATATTGAACTTCTGTCTTTCTTCTATGAAGGCCACACTGCCCATCACCATAGCTGATATGCCACATACTATCTGCAATAGAACAGAAAAGAACCAAACATTAAAAAATTAAAATGCTCATGGAGTTTATTGATCGTTCTTCTCCGCGGAATGACACGTTGTATCTTTAAATCTTTGTTTGAAAGTGCCTAAAATAGTTTAATTAAAATTGTGGCGTTGCATATAAATTGACAACAACGTACAACGGATAGTATATCAAGTCCTACATCGCACAAGTACACACGTATAACAAATCCCAATGGACAACTGTTGGGCAGAAGCCCGCCAGGCTGATCACCTCGCCTGGTCGGAGGAACCTCCTTTTCCGGCCTTAGAAAACTTTACTCTCTGTTCCCTAAACCAGCGACCCGATCTGATTGGAAGCAAACTTCATTCCACGATTCCATGTTCATTCACGAAATGATTTGACTTTATCTTTTGGCACAGTGTCTATGTAACAGACCCTGAATACTAAATGCTGTGCCCATCTACAGAAGATTTTTTCCACTGATCTTCACGTTTGGATCGAAATTGCAATTTTAAAGGCTATCGGTCTCATTATAAAACAAGGGTTTTCTTTAGTTTAGGACTAAACCATTCAGCCAGTTTTTTTATTTCGAATTAAAGATAGATGAGAATAAGATTCCAAATACAAATCCTGACTCAATGATTTACACCAAGACTAAAGATAAATCTTGTTTTGTAATAAGGGGGTGCATATGTTTAAAATTTGCTAGTGGTAGTTGGAAATATTGTACCTATGGTGAATATTGGGAATGAAGGGAGTGTCAATGCATTTTCTCTTAATATGGGTAAAGTGTCTCCAACAAGAATTCTACTTCGATGGAGGATTCTCACAATTTTAAACCAATATGCTAAAAAAGAAAATACATTTTGCTGGTGCCCTCTTTTTAAGATGTCATAACATAGCTGTCAATAATTGTAGAAAAGTACTCATCTAAAAAGAATAGAAAGATTGCCATCATTTTCAGCCCCAGTCAGTGTCAGCCTAAGTAGAATAGCTAAGTATCTATTACAAGTAGTTAAACCTATTTTTTTCTCCAGCTATTAGCAGTGCGAATGAAAAGAGTTTAAAAATCAGACTATACGGAGTGGAATTAATATCTTAATAGGTTTCTAGGAACTACGTAATGTCTGAACTCTATTATGATCAAATACTTCATTCCAGGAAAGGATAAAACGATTTTATTTATTTCTTATTACGCAATAAACTCTATAACGCTTGAAATGTGAAAGTTTCTTTATAGTTTATTTAAACCCTACTGGCCAACGATAAAGGAACACATCGTCAGAAAATATGGACTTATAGGTAAGTTCACAATAGCTAATCCGTTTTGTGAAAGCTTGGTAATCAATGCTCAAACCTTCTCAACGCGAGAAGAGGCCTTTACTCTGCAGTGGGTATACTATATACTGATGATGTAATACTTAATGTAAGACATTCCATTAAGTGAAGTCAATTCATTATAATGGTTTAATCTTTAAACAGATTAGTGATCAAGTTACATGATAATTTTTACTGTCATAGTGTTTACCTTCATGTTAAAGAGACGGACATTTTTTAGTTGTGTGAACTTCAGTCAAATCTATAATTGATTTGTCAGTATGTTTGGAAGGATTTACGGAAGTAAAAAAAAGAATTGGTCCATCCACTTTAAAAGAAAGAAAATTTTACTCTACCACGCAATATTTATTGCCTTTAGTTCACACGAGTACGTAGTGGTACGAGAGCAACTTTATTTAGAATCTAGCTACGAAGCTGTGAATAAAGTATAATACCATTAGTCGAAGGTGTACTGTTTCGGTGGCTATTCCCTGAAGATGGCGATGTAGCTAGTAACACACATGTTAACATTGTCCAGTAATGTGGGTACAAAAGGAAAACACACAATTCCAGAAAGAAAAACATAGTAGTTAGAATGTGACTGTCTTGTTATTTGAGAAAGATGTTTTTTTATTTAGATTTTGGATTTTTCTTTTTTTCTATGGAGTCCGTAACTGTAGCTAGTGCATGGCATTTAAGTCTTCCACTATTACACCGAACTCAAGACAGAAATGTGAAAAAAACTGGTGTTTAAAGCAAGAAGTATCGACGTGAAATCGTGGATGCGACGATCGTCGTCCACCATCGTAAGCGCAGGTCTACAGGGATCTGAACCAGATCAGAGCGGCACATCACCTTTCGCTTATCCAAATAATGTACAGTGGCCCGACCCAGAACAGGAGAAGGAACAAGGTGGTTTTTAGTCAGTAAGAGTCTGACTGTCTCTTCCCTCACCCAGGGCGAATGAAGACGTTATCAGGTGGTATTATTATAAACTGTTCAAAAAAAAAGGCAAATATGTTTTTATCGTCCAAATTACGTTTTGTCTCTGAAATCATCAAGAATCACTACGGTACTGTCTCCTACTTTTTTTTATGTAATAATACGTCGGCAAACTATCGCACAGATTACCTGATGATAAGCAATCAGCGCCGCCCATGGACACCCGCAACGGAGAAGTTTCGAGTGCATTGCCGACCGTTTAGGGATTAGGAATTTGAGATTTAGGGATTGAAGAGGGATTGGGGAGGAGAAGGATTGGGCTTCCGGTAACCTCACTCACACGGCGAAACACAACGCTGTGATTGCTTCACGCTGGTTTTCTGTGAGGCCGTGGTATTACTCGAGTCGAGCCGACCCATTCGTGACAAAGCATGGCTCTCTCACACTTAAAAACAATTCTGCTCTTGCTCTAGGTCAAGGCTGAACATGTTAAACTCCAATTGTGAGCTATTTTAAGCGTTATAGAATTAAGTCCGTAATCTAACTCAACAGAATTGGGGGCACACCCAAAAGGATCATGATAATAAATAAAATTGATTCCGAAGTCCCTTTTGGGCGATGAATTTAAAATAGTTTTAGAATAAATTTTATTGTTCTTGGGAAATCATGGCTTTGACTTTTCTAAGCTATAATGCCAATTACCCACGAAATAGGAAGGTATTGTTAGGATACCTTTTTTTAAGGGGGAAAATCATCTAATGTTTCCATTAAGCTGGGTAAGAGGGGATGTGAGACTTACTGACTAAAAACTACATCTTCAATTTTCCTCCTCCTGGCCAAATTGCCATTACCATTATGAGAAAGCCTGGGCTTATAATTTGACGGCACAGTTGACGCTGTATTTGAGCAACCGGCCGCCCGTGCAATTCGTCGCGGATCCAGGTCAGGATGTTATGTGTACATGAAATTATATGTTAGTAAACGCACCTACGACAAATAAAACAATCTTAGTGTAGGGCAAGGGTTAAAAAATTGAATCGCCAATCCTTCTTAAACATGAAAAAACAATACAAACTTTAATAAACTCTGCAGAGTCAAAATGGACTGGAACCACATTTAGCTCCACGTGGGCAGGTAATACTATTATGCAGAACCCCATCGTCCCTTATTACCTACATAGGGCTAATAACAGTAGCGCACGATAGGTTTACTTAACTCTACACTCCTTGCTATATGTACATTATGTACCTTGTGGGAAAACAGTCGTAATGGTATGTACTCACATATCAAGTTTATGATCGGGGCGAGGCGCAATACGAAGGGAAATAATCCGTTACGCCCTCTATCAGTAGTCTAGGGTTCTCTAGATGTCAGTAGTGTAGCTATTATGTTTTTATTTTTGTTTCTTATGTTTTACTAGCTTCTATTAGGGTTTCGCCTTCATTACATGCCTAAAATGTAAACTGTGTGTTATTTTTACACTATAATCAATTTGCATCAAACTAAATCTATTTCTTACGTCAAAGAGAAATAAGCATACAACAACCTACATCCATTCACACTAGCAAACTTTTACTTTTTTAGCATTAGCAGGATTTTAAAAACGGCTTATAGGTAGGTAGGGAGGTTATTCTAGTAACATTACAAGCATGGGCGAAGCTAACAACAGAAGCTAGTTAATAAAATAGTGAATTTATTTTTGTAGGCCATAAAACAGCGCTTTTACACGTCAATCATAAATAAAAAATCTCAATTAACTCGACCTTTCCTATCTGAAAACTCTGAGAAGTTGTGCTGAAGCAAACTCTGAGTCTCTTTTATTACGTACCTAGTAATATTTGTATGTAGCCGCTTAGATTTTATCATCATGCGTTGATTACTTAATTTTTAGTTTATCATCATCATCATCATCAGCCTATAAGTGCCTACTGCTGAGCAAAGCCCTCTTCTCACACGGAAAAGGCTAGAGCATTAATCACCACGCTTGCTTAATGCGGGTTGGCGATTTCAAACTTATAATTAGAAATTATAAGTCCAGGTTTCCTCACGATGTTAACCTTCACCGTATGTCAGTGGTGTCTAAATAATCATAGAAAGTACATATAACTCGGCAAAAGTCACATCGGTACTTGCCAGGTTTCGAACCCACACCCTCATGCATGTGAATCGGGCTCGCTGCGGGCCGCCACGACTTAGTTAATGTTTACAGTAAAATTGTTAGGAATTGAAAAGTTACACAGAACCGCAGAAACGGTCAAAACAAGCCATGGTCGAGACTACATTGGCTTTTCACAAAGATACGTTCGTTTGACGATTGACCGTAATCTGATCGAGCGTTAAGTAAAGATTCGGTAGCAACTTTATCCAATTCATAGCCCCAATAAAACGTAATACTGTAAAAAGAATACTCTTTCCGATAGTAACTTGATTCGACTAAGTTTTGGTTTTCGTTGACTTATTTTTTGCAGTATTTTACTTTTAAGGAATTATTGTTTTGAAGTTGTTTTTTTTAGCCGTATTGGTATCACATAGGGTACTCTCCTTGGTCAAAATTAAATTAATTCGTAGTTGGAATACAAAAAAAAAAAAAATAGATAAATAACTATACTTTTATTCATCGATTTGTCGATACACATTTTTTTGACATTTTTTAGCTCATTTTTAAGAAATATGAAAGCTATTAGCCGCATCAAAATTTGGAGTTTTATTCACAAATAAAATTATCGTGTTATTACATTTGGACGCA